GGAGCATGCAGAGAGGCTGATGGAGAGAATAGTGCTCAAAATCCAAGGAAAATAAGAAAACATTAGGAACCATGTGGGTGTGAGTGTATTCCATAATCAGGGGTATGAGCAACTCACATTACCTTACTTTCCTAAATCTAATCAAATGTGGTTCTGAGCCCACTTGCAAGGGTTCATAAGAAAGTCCATCTCAGTCACTGCAGGGAGGGGGAATTCCCTTTTCAGGGATCTTATAAGAATCCTGAGGCTCAGAGGAGGGGCCTGGCCTTAGTCCAGAGTGAGTTCCACCCCCACCTGTGCTCCCTGCCGCACGGTGCCACCGCTGCTGTGGTTTCTTTGCCAACACTCAGGTATCACTTCTCTGGGTGTCCAGGAACACTCCTGCATAAATCTGGCTTTGCCAGGAGACCCTCTCTTCCACCCTTGAGGCCTCCTTCCAGCTTTAAGTCTCCAAATAAGCCCGGCAGCCAGCTCCCTGCTGGGTCTCTGTGTGCAAGTGAGGGATCCCTGCCACCAGTGGGTAATCGGAATCCTCACCCCTCCCACGACAAGGGAAATTAACCTTCCTCCCAGTTTGGCCACTTTTAGCTTTCATCTCAAAGCTTCAGCTACTACCCCTCTCCCTTGCAGACAATCCAGCTTAGCCCTCTCTTCTTTGGCCTGAAACTCAAAATCTCTTAGGGTGGAGGAATACGGTGAGGGAACAAAGAATCTCAGCCATCATAAAAACCCAAGACTTGCCTCTCCCCTGGGTTGGAAAAAGAGATATTTTATTCTTCCCTGATGAGTCTATGGCAGCAAAATAAAAACAAACACCATCAGTTTTTACTTTCCTTAATCATTTTTAATAACTGTCACACCAATACTTATTGAACCCTTCCCACAGGCCATGGGAGACAAAGGAGAGGGTGGCGGTCACTGTGGCTTTGGTGAGAGGAGTTTTCCTGGAGCACTAGGAGAAGGAAGGAGTGGTCATAGGTTGAAAAACAAATAAAAACAGGGAAATCAACACCGAAGGAAAACTATTCTTTCAATACATCATTTTTTTCATAAACCAGTTAGAAGGATCTGGCACTGATATTTGTCACCCTCAAACAGGAAGGCATATTATTGTCAGTGTGCCATGGCAGGTAGATGTGGTGGCCACATGTGGACACATTTCAGGCAGCTTCCTGAGTTCATCTCCCTGGACACTGTAGGCGGCTGTACGGGTGGATGGTTTGAGGGATGCTCAGAAAAGTCTCTTCCTTTGGGTTTCCAAGAGCTCACCTGTGTCCAGATCAGATGTGCAAACTTCCTGCAAGAGAATCCACACAGAATTGTGCTGAATATGCACAGTTGAGCACGTAAAAGGAAGACACTAATCCCTCAAGGTCCGGGCCAGAAGCTTAATACCTCCTGCAGATCCAGTTAACCCAAACCTAAAGTGCTGTCGTTCTTTTCTTTCCTTTGTCTGTCTGTCTGTCCAACTGCCTGCCCAGTTGTGTTGTACTCGGTGCAGATCTTCACAGGGAACATTCCCGGGGCAGGGACAGATGCCAAGGTCTACATCACCATCTATGGAGACCTTGGGGACACCGGGGAGCGATACCTTGGCAAGTCGGAGAACCGTACCAACAAATTCGAGAAAGGAACGGTATGAGGGGCACGCCGAGTTTACCCCTCTTCCCTTCTCCTCCCCAGGTCCAGCTATCTGGGCACCAGCTCTTCTTAATCCCCAGGGATGTCTGGGAGCTTTGTGGGGTGCTATGTACCCTCATTTGGGCTTTTGTCCTTGGCCCCCTCCCCCTGCATATGTAGCTCGTCCTCCTCTCCCAGCTGTGCACCCACCCTGGATCCTGCATGTGGGAGTGGGATGGGACAGAAGGTAGGGCTTGGGCAAGAGAAGGCCTGCTTAAGCCCCAGGTTGTTGGCTGTATGGGACTGCATCATCTTCAGAAAATCCAGTTCACTGTGGCTGGTACATAAATGCAGAGGTGAATGTTGCAGAGTCAGGGGGAAGGGGGCTATCCCAACAGAGTCTGGAATTGGGGGTCTGGAGACCTGGTTCTGCCATCACTCCTTATCTTCTTTGGCCTCAGTTTCTTCATCTATAAAGTGAGGGGTCAGATATGAATAGACTAAATTGTGTTGTGCAGAGTCCTGGGTGACACAGAGGCCCTTGGGAGTCACAGTGGTGGGGGTCAGGGTAGACAGGTACCCCACTCCCACCAAGGTGGATCCACTTTGACCTGGTCTATCTGTTGAAATACCAAGCAAGCCCTCATTAAGCAAAGGGTTCTGTGCTGTAAAAAGGCTTGAAAACCCCATGACTAGACTATGTCTAAGGCTCTTCCAGCTCTGACATGCTGTGGTTTTACAGAAAGGAAGAAGTCTGTCCAGAGGGGCCTCTAAAGGAGGGCATTGCCAAATTTCTCTTCCCACCAGCTTGGCGTCCCTCTGCACCTCAGCTGCTCTGTCCTTACCCTTTCTGCCTTACTCCCTTCACCTGATCCTCAGCCTCTTTTCCTTCCCCTCTCATTCACCCAAATCAGCCTGAAATCCACACAGGCCAGGCTAAATCCACAGGGAGATCAGATTAAGGAGACTGGCTCAAAACCCAATCTGTGGTCTTGCCCATGACCATGCATGTGTGGGGATTTCATGCATCAGCCAATGGGTATTTATCAAGAGACTTAAGCCTGATCCTCATCCAGGCATGACCCTTAGCATTGAACCACTTGGGAATGGTGAGGAGGAAATTAGCCCTGGGACAAGAAAAGCAGGTGTTATCTAAGCTGATCTGCAGGTGGCTGGTGACCCCATGAGCCAGGTCACATGGCAGGAGCCCCAGGCTGGCCACCAGTTCCTTGGGAGTCAGTCCCCAGCACTCCCATTTGCTTGTTCCATCATCCAGATGTGAACCATTTACCTTTAACTCCCGTTTACTACTTTTGAAGTGGGAACAGTAATGGGATTGCTAATTAGACCCCGGGGCTGAAAAACGTGACAAGATGTAAGAGCACTTTGTATCAGGGAGAAATCATTTAAAACATACACACACACACACACACACACACCAAGATATATAATTGTTCACTGCCCTTGCAATGTAGCTAGAAAGAGGATTGTCCTCTTTCCATTTTGGAAAAATGGAATGTCAATGAGGTCAAGTGATTCATGTGATGTCCCTGACTCTGCACTTGGGACATGCTTATCAGGTGCCCAGACACTGGGGCCAGATCACCCGGCATTGACATTTACTAGCTGTGTGATCTTGGAAAAGTTACTTAACGTCTCTGTGCCTCTGTTTTCTCCTCCACAAAAAAGAGTTAATCTGTGGTTATTGTAAAAGTCAACTGAATTAGAACACGTGAAACACCGAGAATCATGCCTGGCACAGAGTTAGCTCTTTGCCTGTGCTGGGTGTTGTCAAGGCTTGGGAGAGCTCATCTGTCCCCTGCCTTCATTGGTGCCTGGTGCTGATGTCTGGTGAATGCACTGTAAAAACAGCAGCGTGCAGCATATGGCTGATCAACTTTTATTCACGGCTGTATTCACAGAGCCAGGCCAAGAGTGGGTGCTCAATAAATGTGTTGAATGAATAAATGAATGAAAGTATAAATGAAGGTGATGAAATTCGTTCTCCCCTGTGTTCAGATTCAATTTTCTGCCCCATTGCTTTCTCCTCCTGACCTCCAGTTTAGATGTGCCATCAGGGGAACTGAAGATACTTCTAGATCAGTACTATTTATGTGACCTTAAGTTCACTGCTGTTCATCTAGAAGCTTCCACTTCTCTAATCATTTGCTCTAGAACCCAGGAGTCATCCTGGGCATGCTTTGCCTGGCAGCACCCCCCACACCCCCACCCACTCCATCGCCAGGTCCCAGCAATCCTCCTTCTGAGTAGCTTCAGATCTGCAGAATCAGGACTGTCACCTCTCAGCCGCCTCACCTCCGCTCACCTACTGAACCAGCCTGGCCTCCCGCCTCACCCCGCCACCCAGTCCATCCTCCAGCTTCCTGAGTTAACCTATCCAAGGCCGAGGGCATCGCTCCCTCACTCCCACCCTTCAGGTGCTGCCCGTGGATCCCAGATCTGACCTGAATCCTTCAGGGCCCTCCCTACCAGCCTGCCTAGAATGTCCCCTACAGACTACTGGGCCCAGTGTCCAGAATGCCCCACATCGCTCCCTCACTCCCACCCTTCAGGTGCTGCCCGTGGATCCCAGATCTGACCTGAATCCTTCAGGGCCCTGCCTACCAGCCTGCCTAGAATGTCCCCTACAGACTACTGGGCCCAGTGTCCAGAATGCCCCACACTCTCTCCTGTCTCTGCATCTTTCCAAACATTTTCTATGCATACATGAACACATGCCCATAGAAAATAGATAATGCTGGCCTGTGGTTTTTACTTTTTTATATAAAAGGCATCATTCTATATAAACCCTTCTTCAACTTGCCTTTGGCATTCAGCGGGATGTCTTGGAAATCTCTCTGTCAGGATATTCAACCATAGATGGAGCTGGTGCTTCTTTGTAACCATCACACACATAACATCCTACAGGAAAGGCTTTGCCAGAGTTATTTAGCTGTTCCCCAAGCGCTAGACCCCCAGATGGCTTCCAATTTTTCTCTGTAAAAATTTTCCTTCAATAAACATCCTTGTGTACATTTGAAGTTCTCCCCCAGGAAAGATGCAAAGAAGTGGAATTGCTGTGTCATAGAGTGCGCCCATTGTCACTCTAGTGAACTCAGTCAATTGCCAATGCCCCGAGGACTGCACCAATGCACACCTGCTGTCAGCGGGCACCACCTGCTGCCGCTCACCTGCAGTTGCCTCAGCCTGTGGGCTGACCCCACCTTGGCTGACTGCAAAGCCCAGCCCCCATCTACAACTTAGTGCTGCCACCTGGAGACGCTTCCCAGCCCTGCCTCTAGTGCTCACACAGTTGGTCGTCCCTGCCACCTAGACTGTAATTATCCATCCTGTCCTCTCCCCCTACTAGATGGTGAAGTCCTGAGGGCAGAGGGTGTTCTATTGTGTTCATCTCTAGGTTCCCAGGGCTCATTGCAGTGATTACGTAGTATCCACACTCAGCAAAACTTTTGGAAGGAAGTTGGTGTCATCAGGGCCACCTGTCTCCCCCAGGTCCATCCTCTGGCTCCTGCCTTCCACTTTCAACCTCTGTCTTGTCCCGTCTCAGCCAAGGCCTAGAATGCACACTGCAATAAGCTCCCCTTGAAGAATCCAGGCACACATAGTTGACATCCACTTGACTGAAGTTAGAATCAGGAACATCACACCCCACACAAAACCCTTGTGTACCTATGTTCCAGATCTTTGTCCCCTGAGCCCTCCTATGGGCTCACCTCCCCCAGAGCCTCACCCCTCTCTACCTCCTCTCCTGCAGCCTAGCCTCACCGGCTCTTCTGACTCCCACCCAGATTCTCCCAGGAAATTTCAAGCCCCCTCCCATTATTCACAATATCACCTCTATGGTAGCTTTTACCCTCTGGCTGCCACACCTGAGCTCATCCCAATTCTCAACATAACTAAGTTAACAAGACCTGCTGAGCACCCCTCATGTGGCTGTCAGGTCCCACCTCCACCCACACTGCTCATCAGAGTTCGTCTTCCCAGCACCCACAGGCTTATCCCCAGAGGAATGTGGGTGAAGGCAGTTTTCTCCACGGTTTCACACACTGAAGTGGACTATAAAATAGGGCCACTGTGGAAGTGAGGCCTTGGACACCAAGTGCTCAGTGTTTGGGATTTGGGCCTGGAGGGCTCCCCATCGAGGAAGATCCATTCAGCCCAACAATTAAGGAGGATGGAAGGTTCTGGAAGGATGGGGTTGAAGTGGGTTGAGGTGGGCCACTCTCCCCATCCAAGTCCCCACATCTGGACTCTCCAGGCTGACACCTTCATCATCGAGGCTGCTGACCTGGGCGTCATCTACAAGATCAAGCTCCGCCATGACAACACCAAGTGGTGTGCAGACTGGTACGTGGAGAAGGTGGAGATCTGGAACGACACCAACGAGGATGAGTTCCTGTTCCTGTGCGGGCGCTGGCTGTCCCTGAAGAAGGAGGATGGGCGGCTGGAGAGGCTCTTTTATGAGAAGGTGCAGCTAGGGGCAGTCGGGGGCCTTGGCTCAGCCATGCCCTGTCCTATCCTTATACCTGGGGGAGGCTCCCTGGGGCAGAAGGTGATGGAGCTGTCACGGGCTGGGTCGTGCTTTTCTGGACAGGAGTACACTGGGGACCGCAGCAGCAACTGCAGCAGCCCCGCAGACTTCTGGGAAATCGCCCTGAGCTCCAAGATGGCCGACATTGACATCAACACAGTGACTGGGCCCATGGCTGACTATGTTCAGGAGGGTCCGGGTAAGCCAAGCAGGGAGCTCTTCAGAGGAGGAACAGACACATGGAAATGTTTTTAAGCTGTTCTTGGATGGGCCATCCTTTAGTCCCACCATTATCAATGACTTAAATCTAATGCTTTGCAATTTACAGTTTTCAAACATATTACCTATCTCATCCCCACAGCAACCCTGCAAGGTGAAGGGGCAGGGATAAGCCACCTTTACAGGTGGGGAAACAGAGGCTAAAAGACATTAGGGCGATGACACCCTTAATGCACTGATCCACCACCCAGAGGGTATGGTCATAAATGATGCGCTCACTCAGACTTTCAGGATATAGATTCAGCCCAGAGGGCCTAGGACAACCAGACAGGGAACGACAGCAACAAGAGGAATCCCTCGCGGGTCAGCAGTGCATCACCCAAAGCACTCAGCCATGCTAACTTAGGCATGATGTGGTGTGTGGTGGGGGCGGGGGAAGAAGTTCTCAGCTGGTCGTTCGGGGACTAAAGTTCCATTTCTGGTTCTGACAGTAACGTGTATGGCCTTGGAAAGTCACTTCCGTCGCTTCAGTTTTTTCATTCTCCATAAAACAGTATCATAATTTCACCGTCAAGTTCATTTTGCCAACCAGATTTTTGAGATAAGGCACTTCTAATATCTGGTTACATGTTATAATCACTCCTAGTTGCAAGGAGAGCAGATATTGAGTGGACAATTAGAATTCTGTGCCACACTACTTGAGCAAGATTTTATGCTGAGTAATCTGGTTTCTTTTGGAAATGAGTGCCTTCTAGAATTTTCATTTGCCATGTTACATATAATACTTTTTTATTGTTCTTCCCCAAATTCCTACTTTCTATGAGACCTTGCTTTTGCCAAGCTCATTTTTGCTGACTGTGGTAAGCTTTTCAGGTACATAATCCCTGTACTTGGTGAGAAGTTATTTTTCTTATCCTACTTCACATGGTAGTGCCAGGTTCAAGTAAGATTTCTGGTCAAAAGGGCTTTTAGAAGCTTGACACTCCAAACAAGTGGCAAGAACTGTCTCTGGTCTTCATTTTGGGAGTCACCAATTCCTCATTCCTTGGAGAGTAGACACCAGTCTGAAAAGCTCCACTGGGCTTGGTCTCAGAGGCAGGGAGCTGAGATCAGTGCCCTCCGTACACGCCTGCTGCGTGGTGCCCTTGTCCACCTGGCCCATCATGAGGCTAGGCCTCCGCCCCCACCCCACCATGGTCTCTTGCAGTTATTCCCTACTATGTGTCGGTAACCACCGGGAAGCACAAGGACGCCGCCACCGACAGTCGAGCCTTCGTCATACTCATCGGGGAGGATGATGAGCTTAGTAATCGCATCTGGCTGGACTACCCCCGAGGGAAAAGGGGCTTCGGCTGTGGTTCTGTGGAAGAGTTCTACGTCGCAGGCTTGGATGTGGGCGTCATCAAGAAAATAGAGGTGCTGGCCCCTCAGGACCCTGTGATAGTGACCACTCCCAGGGAAGGTAGGAGCTGAGCAGGACTTGGGTGGGAGGGGAGTGCGGGGAGGGCAGAGCAACCTTCCTGGAGCAACCCATCACCAGAGCAGGTATGGAGTAAGACCTCCCAGCCTCTATCATTGACTAGCTAGGTGACCTTGGGTGAGTCACCTGCCCCTCTGGGTCCCCATTTTCCACCCACCTGATGGGATTGCCCTATGTATTCATTTGCTATTGCTGTGTAGCAAATTACCACAAATTTAGTAGCTTTAAAAGTTGCAAATGTATTCCATCACAGTTTCACGAGTCAGGAGTCCAAATGTGAGTTAGCTGGATTCACTTTTTCAGGTCCCACTGGGCTGAAATCGAGTTGTATCCAGGACTGGGATCTCCTCTGAGGCTGGGAGTCATCTTCTAAGCCACCAATTGTCAGCAGAATCCACTTCCTTAGGGCTATAGGTCTGAGGCCATCAGTTTCCAGAGGCTGCCTGCCGTTGCCCACCATTGGCCCTCTTCAAAACCTGGCTGTTTGCTTCACCAAGGCCAATAGGAGACAACCTGTTCTGCTCTAAATGTCTCTTCTTCCATCTCTGATGTCTAGACCCTCTTTTAAAGGGTTCACCTGATTAGGTCAGGCCCACCCAGAGTAATCTTTTGATTAACTCTAAGTCATCTGATTAAAGACCTTAATTACATCTGTGAAATCTCTTCACCTTCATGGGAGGGACTTGGGCCAGCGAGTGCACAGTACACTGAAAGGGAGCACTGAGAGAGGGGGCACAGAATGGGGAGGTCTTCCTTCCCAGTTATGCCCGGATCCTCATGGGTCTGGTGTGTCTCCTCCCAGCTGGGCCATGACGGGGCCTCCCCTGAGAGCTGCTGGCTGGTGGAGGAGCTGTGCTTGGCAGTGCCCACCCAGGGCACCAAGTACACTTTGCGCTGCAACTGCTGGCTCGCCAAGGACCGAGGCGATGGCATCACCTCCCGCGTCTTTGACCTCCTGGATGCCATGGTGGTGAACATCGGGGTGAAGGTAGGAGGGGGCACTGTGGATATGCGTTGCATGGCAAGGGCAGTACATGTTGGGGTGGGGAAGCGGCAGGAGGGGAGTAGGAGACTCATCACTGGGGCACTGCAGGGGCTGCAGCCTGGTATACGGTTAGACTCACTTTGCTAGGAGCCTGGAGACTGAAGTCTTTTCTGGTCCACTACTGTGTAAACTCAGGCAAGTCACCCGGCCTCTCTGGGCCTTAGACATCTCAAAAACCTCATGGAAATAATGTTTTCTATCCTGTTCCATGTAAGATCTTGGCAAGAACCAGTGAGATCATGAACAGTCTATGAAGAGCTTTGCAAGATAAGAGCTCTACATAGACATACATGGTTGTTATTCTCCAAAGGATGCTCCATCAACACTAGTAGGATGGTGATGGGGAGAAGTGGCATTTGGGATTCTGCGAGCCTCTGGATCTCACAGTGCGGGGAATGCTGTCCACATGAGACCCTCCTTAATTGGAAAAGCTTGGAAGGCAAGAGCACCGAGCTCCTGTCCTGGCTCCACCTCTAATTGGCCAAATGACCTGGGACAGGTTGTATAAACCCGCAGGTCAGGACCAGGCAGGAGGCAGGATGCCTGGATGCTGGGTCGCAGGAAACACAGATGTTGGTGGCCCAGAGACCTCTGGTTCACCTGACCCCATTGGCTTCTCTTTTTCATAAGCTGTGGGATCAACAGAAAGCCCCAGCCCTTATCTCTGTTCCTGAATCCAAACTAATGAGCTACTTGGTATAGGTCAGAAGTTGTCCCACAAAGGTGAGAAGAAATCACCTGGACCTAAGTGTGCCCTGCCTGTACTTTATATGAAAATGTAAAGAAGGGCTGAGTTCTGGGCTCTAAAAACCTTGACGAGCAAGAGTGTGTGTACCTGCCCCTTCCCTGCAGGAGATCCAAAGAACAGAATTTTCTACAGCACAGACACCCCCCTGCCAATCTCTCACAGACATCTCCATCTGTGGCCAGACAGACAGTGTGGGTGAGCACACAATTCCTCCAGGGACCTCCGCCTTACTCAGTTCCCAGCCTGCATGTGCCTGTGTGTGTGCCGCCCCCCAGCACGCATGCACACCCCACACAGTGCAGCTGCATTGCCCTCCAAGCCCTGCAGCCCAGGAGAATCCAGATCCACATGCCTGTTATTCACAGTACAAAAGAACACAGGCTTGTCACTTTACAAAGAACCCCAGGGTTCTTCGGACTGGCCATCTCCCCAGTACATCTGTTACCAGACTGGAACTACAAGAGCCCTGCTTCTGTCTCTTTTTGGAAACACACCTATTACATAAAAAGAGATGTGTCTGTGCAAAGGAGAGAAAGATGGATGCAGAGAACACAGGAGTCGGAGGGACCAGCCCTCAGGGGCCCGTCTCCATGGGCAGCCAAAGCGCTAGTTTTGATCATTCTATTTTTTATGCCAGTCTGGATAAGAGTAAAAAAGTGTCAGGCTCCCACTTTTGTTCCTGGTAGCTCCTCCTGCCCATCGCAAACACCCCTGTTGGGTGGTCTGGGGGGATTTTCCTGGTAAAGCAAGAGGCTCTTCATCCATTCCCTCAGCAAACATGTCCTGCACTTGTCCTGTGGGTCAGGCCTGCACCTAATACTTCTAACTTTGCAGTGTCACAGCAAAGATTCCAGATGCTGCTGAAAAAGCACCCAGCACCCACCAGGCACAATGGCAGGGGGCATGACACTGTGACGAATAACTTTGGTTCTGAGTTCCAAGGCTTCCGGGTAGTGGGGACCAGGCCCCTACACAGGTGGTGAAGGAATGTGGCAGCTGTGGGGGAAGGGAAGGGCCAGGTATGTCCAGAGGAGGCAGTCAGCCTGGCCTCTCCTCTGCTGTGTGCATGAGCCTCTCCTGAAACTTCAGACCTCATTGTTAGTGCATGGACACCTCGTGAGAGGGATGGTGTAAGAATCCAGGACCAGAGAACATTCCAGACCATTGATGTAGGTAATGCCCTATGCCATGAGGCTGGCTCACAGAGGAAGACCCAAGGCAGGGCCTCAGTGAAGGCCCCCCATCCCCAGGGAAGAGTAGGCTGCTCCCTCACTCTGCAGCGGAGACAAAGGAAATACGTCCTCTTTGGAGCAAACCTCAAGCAAAACAGGAAAGTCCCCATCTAAAGCAAAAATCATGTAAATAGGCAATCATCCCACTTCACAAACGGATTGAGGCAGAGCTCCCTTAAATGTTATGCCCGACAGTCCTCCTTGCTCACAGACCTCAAGGCATGTGCTGGTCATGGCACGGAGTGGGGACGGACACCCGGAACTGCTGCTGCTTGTTGAGACTTTACGTGTGGCAGGCCCAACTCCCGCAGCAATGTGAATTGTCTGTAGCTCTCACAATTCTGCCAAGTTTATCCCAATTTTATCACAGGAGAAGCAGAGGCTGGTGAGGGTGGGGCATCTGCCCAGATTCAACAGCTAGCATGTGACACATCTGGGGTTCAAATGGAGCTCTGAATGGTTCCAAAAGCCACTGTCCTGCCGCCACACACTGCGAGCGCGGGTGGACTTAGGTTTGGAACTGACGAAGGACCAGTTAACACTGGAGCTGTCAATCATGCTTCCATCGCACGACACATGCTTGAGGGTGGGGCATCTGCCCAGATTCAACAGCTAGCATGTGACAGATCTGGGGTTCAAATGGAGCTCTGAATGGTTCCAAAAGCCACTGTCCTGCCGCCACACACTGCGAGCGCGGGTGGACTTAGGTTTGGAACTGACTGACGAAGGACCAGTTAACACTGGAGCTGTCAATCATGCTTCCATCGCACGACACATGCTCTATCAGAAGCTGAACTCCTCTCCAGGGCTGGGCTGGGCACAGTGGGGACATGAGAGGGTCAAACAAGGCCTGACTCTTTCCCTGCAGACATTTATAGTTGACTGGGGCAAGGGCTTTTTTCAGAGCCACGGAGCTCGAAGGGCATATCTTCTTTCCTTGGCAAGACTGATGCAGGCTGGGTGGGGTTGGTGCATTAAGGCCAAGGCTCAGGACCTGTGTCCCTCTCGTGGCAGGTGCTTTACGAAATGACTGTGTGGACAGGTGATGTGGTTGGTGGGGGCACTGACTCCAACATCTTTATGACCCTCTATGGCATCAACGGGAGCACAGAGGAGGTGCAGCTGGACAAAAAGAAGGCCAGGTACCTGGAGGCAGCCCCTGCCCCACCCCCCTCACTTCCAGTCCTCGGCCCTCTGCGCCATCCCCTCCTGCCCCTACCCATGCCCCCCGCCTTCAGCTACACTGGTCCTCTCACAACCCCTGCATACAGCAGGGCCTTCCAGCTTCCACGCCTTTGTCTATTCTGTCTCAATACTTTTCTCTTTCAGGGACCTGCTCAAATCTGCCTCCTCTAGGAAGCCCGCTGTAGTAGCCTCAGGCCATAGCAATCTCTTCCGTCCTTCTTTCTTTCATTTGACCACTCGAAAATGTTTATTGTAAGGTCTGCAGATTAGCTGATAGCATTGTATTATTGTTAATTTCCTGGTACATTAATTGTACTATGGTAATGTAGGATGTTAACATTAGGGGAAGCCGGTTGAAGGGTACACATATGCTCTGTTCTATTTTTGCAACTTTTCTGTAAGCCTAATTGCAAAATAAAAAGCAGCCAGCTCTCAAAACATTAAAATAATGATTGAACACCTGGTCCATGCCAGGCACTGACTCAGGCGCTGGAGAGAGGCAGTACGGCCAGGAGGACACCCTCACTCACACAGCTAGCACTTCAGGAGAACGACAGCAGGAGCACTAACCTTCACGTGGGCTTGTTTTGTGCCAGGCATTGTTCTAAACCTATATTCACACACCTAGCCCTTTCCACAACCCTAGGAGGGCTATTATTATTATCCCTAGTCTACAGGTGAGGAAATGGAGGCTTAGCAATGCTCAGGGTCCTATAGCCAGTAAGCTGTGGCACTGGAAACTGCACCCAGATGGTCTGCAGTCTGAAGCATCAGGTTCTACTGCCTCTTAAGATAGTGATTAATGATAACAATAAATGTGGACCTCCTGTGGTACTTATTGTCTGTGCCTTTCATTGGGTTCCCCCAAACAGTCCTGGGTTTTGCTGGTCTGCTATATTCACCCATTGTTCCCCAAACATCCCTGATTCCTGACTTCTTAAGAACCATAGGGGAGAGACTCAGAGCCCAAGCCAAGGATTTTGAAAACCCACCCGCAGCCACTTACTTCTGAACCCACAGTGCCCCTTCCCCCAGCTGGAAGGCAGGATCCAGGGTGGCTTCCTTTCTGAGTCTCTTGCATGCACGGGGCCCCCACTGAGTTCTTCTGGATGGTGCTCATGAGGATGGTGCAGATGATGGTGATGTTGGTGATGATCATGGTATTGATGATAATTGTGATGATGGTGATGAAGGTGATGATAGGGACAAGGCTACTGAAGCTCTTGGGGACCAGGCAAGGACTTCTTCCCATGGGCAGGGCAGCTCATAAGAGCTAGACTTTGCCCATCCTCTGCAGCCCATCCCCGGGGGTCTGATGAGGACAGTTTTCCTGCCTTCTCTTAGTACTTCTGCTCTCTCATTCTGCAATTCAATTCTGAGTTCTTCCCAGAGCAACTGGCAATGGTAATAACAATAATGGCTAACATTTATTGAGCACTTACTCCATGCCAGGCACCATTGTAAGTGCTTTTTAATATATACTAACTCACAGCACCCCTGTTAGTATGCATTGTTGTCATCTCCACTTTACAAATGAGGTGACTGAGACACAGAGAGGTGAAGTAGCTTGCCCAAGGTCACACTGCTAGTAAGTAGGGAAACTGGGATTTGAACTCAGGCAGTTGTGAAAATAAATGAGGGCCAAATGGGAACAGAGGCTATTTATCTAGAGCTTGCTATAGCAAGGGAGTCAGCCACCACCACTTGATTTGGCAGATACTCAAAGGCTGTCAGGAAAGTGGGAAAGCTTCATAGTGAAGTGCTGTGTGGGGCACGCAAAGCTGATGTTAAGCTAAGTAGAATCATGGCATTTTATGTGATTGGATTGGGGAAGCATATTTGGATTTCTCTGGTTGGTCCTGAGTTGGGAATGGAAGCAAAATAGGGAAGTTGGTGATAACTGCCCAAGTCCTGACCACTCCGGGCCAATTGCTGTAGAAGCCGTGCTTTCCCGGGATGGTTGCTGTGGAGGTGTGAGTCAGGGTTCTGTCATTGGGCATGGTCTGGCTATTGTCTGTTTAAATATTCAGTCTCTTACAGTCTTCAAGTCCTGACCACTCCGGGCCAATTGCTGTAGAAGCCGTGCTTTCCCGGGATGGTTGCTGTGGAGGTGTGAGTCATGGTTCTGTCATTGGGCATGGTCTGGCTATTGTCTGTTTAAATATTCAGTCTCTTACAGTCTTCACCTTTATACTGTGACTCTAATCTCCACCCGACCCCAAATTCTTGGATTTTCTCTGATTAATTATCCCACACCTACATTCCACCTTCTTTTCTGGATGTCCAAGACATAATTGCTGGTGGGAGAGATAGACATCTCATTTCTGGCAGTATCCACATTCCTAAAATATTGCTTGAAATCGCATCATTATAAACACAACCATACTGTAAATGCTTCGAGGTACCTTGTTAAAGGATTTTTTTATGGATAAAGATTTATTTTGTGAGGAGAGCCATCATTTCTTAATTACTTTGGTTTACAAACTCAGAGCTCTTACTGGAAGTGTGTTTGCTTTATTTCATGAGCAAGTGGCCCAATGTATCACCTATGACTTGGAGTCCTTGTTATGCGTGTCTGCATCCTGACTAGGGGACTTGGATGGAAAGACCCACTGGGCATGTGTTGTAGGTACAGCTTGGTGTTGTGCAAGGTGGTGCATTCTCAATGAGGTAGTGTATGACTGGAATGAGGCTGCAGCAAGCTTGCAAGCACTCCTGCTGTCAGATGCTACCCCCAGAGGCCAAGGCTTAACACACTCAATAGCAATTCATTCAACCCCACTCCTCAGCTAAATTCCCCAATTTCCCATCTTGCTACTTTGGGGAAAATTGTTCTGGTAAATTAATTCACACTGAGAAGGCAAACGAATGGCATTCAAAAAGATTATGCCTTCAAAAGATAATGCTTAAGCTCAAGAAATGAATCTCTAACAGCAGAATTTGAGGCAATTGGTGTCCAGTGGGTATTTTTAGACAAAGGGACATGGTTTTTCTGTAGAGGGAAGTAAACATTCACAAGATAGGGATGCAGATCTCCATTGCTGCCTGTATCTCACGGGGCACGCACAAAGTTTGCTTGTCTTAATGGTCCCTGAGGAGGGAGCTAAGGAGCCTGGATCAGAGGAGCCTGGGACTATGGCTCTGTGTCGTGCACCCCAGTTATGTCAGCCCCCACAGACACACCACCTTGGAAGTCTCTCTGTATGGGTTCCAGGGTAGCTTCCCCTCATCTGCACCCTTTATGGTCCCAAAGTTCTTCATTCATGCCACTTGGGGCTATATTTGTTTCCTGAGGTTGTGACACAAAATTACCACAAACCTACTGGCATAAAACATCAGAAATTTATTCTCTCACATTTCTGGAGGCCAGAAATCTGAAATCAGTGTCAGTGGGTGG